ACTATTGCATTCGTTCCACATGTTTTTGGTGGTGGCTTTTAAATGACAAACATTCTTTCAGAAAGGACAGAGAACGTGTAAAGAATGGAGCTGCCTTCTTAGGTCCCAAAACAGAGGTTTCCCTATATTGGTTCCTCCAATTTGTTTTCAGATTACAAATCATAACATAGGTTGAAGGGAATGTGGAGGGTCATAGTAAACTGGGGAAACCTGATGAAACTGTTGTGTATAATATAAGTAGCCAATCTAGTTTGGAGGCTGATATCCAATGTTCTTGGAACACACCCAGTTGCATAATTTCAAAAACTAAATAAGTTCAACAATTTGTAATGTTCCGTAAGATAGAGGCTCATGATTAAATTTCAACCAGTACTATTCATTTATTAGTTTGTTTATTTATTGCTGTTATTCCCCTCAAAAGTCTGGTTCGATGGGTGATCATCATCCCTCAGCCCTCATTGCTGTTGCACAAAGAAGAACTAAGTCTCTAATGTATTTATTTCCTGACCTTTCATAAGGTGAGAGCCTCTGCATTTTGCCACTGGGTGGGTTTTTGTCCCATCCTCCTTGCTACAGTGCTCACTGTGTGACTCAAGGCACAGAAGTAGACAGCTGAGTCTCTCAGCTCAACAGAACCCTTAATCAAATGAAAAGACTTCTCCACTTTGTCAAGGTGTGCTGAAAACTTCTGGCTGTGTCCTTCAGAGTCATAACTTGCCAGCAAGAGCTGAGGGCTGCTGTATGGATGTTGTTGATACCAGAAAAGGTATGGGGAGCCGGCAGTTTCATATTTGCACTGTAACCGGACATTCTGCCCTTCTTTCTCTGTAACCGGATGGATTGTTTGATTGACGGAGTCTCCTTTCGCCCTTCCTGCAAAAATAAAAAGGTGGAAGATAATTAGTGGATTGGACTCTTAAAAATGCGGAGTGGAATAGAAACTGGGATTTTCATTTTGGATGTTGCAGCCAAAGGAGAATGGTAGAGTGGTCCTTCTGAAGGAGAACTAACAATGACTAGCAGTATCAACATGGGCCTTTCCAGCAATGAAGACATTGCTGATATGATGTATGTATAAACCATCAATATGCAACAATGAGTGGAAGCCTTTTTGGGTCTTATTTACATTTTTAAAGCTTTATTTCTTTAAATTTCTATTTTTTTTTATTAGTCTTACAAAGATTAATGAGCAAAACTGAATTTTTAAGTCACAAAAACTTGAGCATATTTTTCCTCTATCATTTATGCTCTTTTGTTTAATTTAAACAGATTTAATTTTAATTTAAAACTGTTACTCTCTCAAGATTAAAGCCAGTAATATCATAAATGGTGATGCAGAGATCCTGGGAGGGAGGACCTCCCTAGACCTCAAATGTATGGTTATACAGTTCATGCTGGAGTCCTCGGTGGTCTCTGAGCTTGGTGGTTTGCTTGCAGACATTTCATTTCTTGACTAGGTAACATCAGCGGTGCACTGATGATGTTACCTAGACAGCACAAGTGAAGTTAATCAAAAGTGTCTTGAAATAATGTGGAAGGAAAGAGAAAATGTTGCAAATTGAACTTTCAATAGAGATTTAAGATTAATCTATAGAAGCCTGCCTGCCTGCCTGCCTGCCTGCCTGCCTGCCTGCCTGCCTGCCTTCCTTCCTTCCTTCTGAGGTTCCTGATGTTTTTTTGGGATGTTTGATTAGGGGATTACCAAAAAAACCCACACCTTTATCTAGAATTGAAATGAACTGCTAAATCAACAAATTCACCACTCATCCTTTCAATCATCCAGGCAAAAGTGCTCCTGGGCACATTCAGATTGTGATGTGTGTTTTCACACCTGCCTTCCTCCCCTGTCTCTGGTGGCACCTTTATTGCAAGAGAGGGTTCTTGCAAAAGGGAGTCATGAGGATGTAACACAGTGTCTCCTATAGCACAGAAATACACTGCCGCATCCTCCAGGGTGACTCTGGCAAACAAGAGGTTGCTGGTCTTTCGGTCAACAGCAACAACCAAGGAGACACCCTCGACTTCGCTGCTCTTTGATGCTCCCTTGTATCCAGTTCCAATGAGATGAGGAGGCCGGCTAGGGAATTGTCGGTACCAAAAGATGTTTTCATTGGTTTCAATATCATGGTGGGAGCAAGAAACATTGTGTTTTCTTACATTTAATGCTTCTAC